GGCGCTGGCAGGCCGTGGCCCCGCGGCACAGGTACGGGAGGGGCCTTTTTAATTTTCTGGCATCATCTCTTACGTCATGTGGCACCCTGCTTCACGGCGGCGGTGTCCCACCCCAGCAATGGCTGCATTTTTGTGGCAGGTGAAGTCATTCCCACGCAAAGCTGCTTAAGGTGCGCTGGAGCCGTCGGGAGGGCAGGTGTCACGTCCACAGGCAATAAAACACAATATCTGGACGCCCCGGCTCAGGGCAGCCCCTGTTTGTCTTGCAAAAAGTGTGCGATGCTGCGCGGCGTCCTGGCCCTGGGCGTGAAACGCCGGTAACTCGCGTGGGAAAAATGCTTCTCAACCAGTATTTAGAAGAGGGCTTCACTCGGAGGTAATTTCTACCTTGGCTAAAAATTGTATTTCTAGAGCATCTGAAGCAGCACTCTGTAAACTTTCAATTTAGTGTAAAGATGGACAGTGTATGTTAGCACACAGTAGTTCTGTATCCCGTGGGAAGGTACGTGAGAGGGGAACAGCATCATTTTCCAAATCAGAATACATTAGTGCTCCCGAAGGCAGATGAAAGATCATCCTAGTTTCTGCTTAACATCCAGATGTGCTTCATCAGGGTACATTTGACTTTCAGACTTGTATTTGCTTTCTCCTCAAGAAGAGAATATTTTGCTCTGCTGTATATCATCTTTTATGTGACCATTCCTCATCTTGGCACATTGAACAAAATAAGCTTTGATGCTCTGTGAGATGAGAGCAAGATTAACAGCAGATGTGGTGGTTTAAAAAAAAAAACAAAAAAAACCAAAACAAAACACTAAACTTCAAAAAACAACAGACATTGGAGGCAAGTTAGGTATGCTTGTTCAGTTTTCTGATCTGAGTTGGCTCTAGGGTGGTGATAAGCATGTCTATTGAGTATTTTAAGAACATCATTTTTAAAAGCATTTACAAAATCAAAATTTTTATATTTAGTTTTTGTTGGCTGCTGAACTTGCAAGCTGGCAACTTCTTTTGCCCTTGGCATTTTTGGAGCTCACGTATGATGTGAAATAGCCTGCTGAAGGAGAAACACTCTGTAAATGGTGAAAAGCGAGGCTAAACAACGTCCTTCAGGGGGTTATTTTGAAAGCATAGGTATTCAAGGTGAGGGGCCATACAGAAAGCTGCATATTACTACTTTTTTTTAAAATGCAGGCTTATTTTCTTATCGGCCTAGAAGCCACTGTTTGCCTTGACACACAGATTCAGCTGGAAAATGGGGGCAGGTGTACTTCAGATACATTGGAGCTGCTTCACTTTGCCATTAGCTGAAAAAGCGTCATCTCTTATTGTATCTCTGGCATCTTGGTTAAAATTGGCAGCTTCTTCAGTACCATTTAGAGGTGTTGGTAAATGGATTTGCACGTTCTCTTAGTTGATGTGGTGCATCGTGATAGTGTAAATCTACAAGGAAGCATGTAGGACTGAACAAATGCAAGAGCGAAGGCCGTTTTGAACAAGCTAACTGATAATTGGTTGGCTGAAGTTTTATGGTTTACTGAAGTTTTATTGCTTCAAAGCAATAGTTCTCTCTTCGTTCATTTTAAGCATTGCAACAGAAGTTATGAAAAGTTATATAGGATATAAAAGGGCTTTCGGTATTCTTTTTGACATCCAAGTGGGATGATACTGAAATCTTCATCAGGAAAATCATCTCTTGGCCTGACAGGAGTCATTGTAATAAATACATATGAGATGTACCACAGTTGTCATTTGCCTGAATCCTAGAATATCTTAAGCTGGAAGGGGCCCATAAAGACCATTGAGTCCAACTCCCTGCTCCTCGCAGGACTACCTAAAATTACCACCTGTGGACACACTCTAATAGTTTGATGTCCTTCATGTCATTCAGCAGCAATGTTATCAACTGGAATATAACACTGCATGAAGCGCAAGTGAGTGGAAAGGAAATGGCAGGCTAAAAGGACACATACATGATTTAAGGCATCGGCAACAATGGTGAGGTGTCTGTCCGTAGCTCCTGTAGCTCACCGTACTCCTGCATATCAAATGAATAGTGCAAGGACAGAAAAGATACAAAACGTGGCCATGTAACCCTTTGGGGAGGATACTTGAAGGAAAGAAGGTCTCGAAAGATGAAGCAGCTGGCATTTCAGTTTTGTTAGTAGAATTAACATTAACATCCATTGCTAAAAATTAAAAATAATCCTGCAGTTGCATACAGGCAAATAAAGCCAACGTCTGAACGTGTGTGATACGGTGAGTCTAATGTTAAAGGTTGATGCTTTGCCTAGGAAACAACTTGTGTGAAATCGAATGACTTAATTTAATAAGAGTTTTTTCCTCTCCAGAATGTTTGTCATCTGTAACCAACATAAACATTTATGATTTTTAGGAAGTATTTCAATTCGTAAGTTTGTTGTTGACTACAAAGCATCCCTCCTGAGCATCTGACCTAGTTCTAAGCATCAAAAATGCACCCAAGTGCTGTGCTTACAGAGAGGCAATAGGCTTTTGGAGGCTGCAGTTGAATATGCTTGGAGAAACTTTCAGTAGAGTTTTTTTCAAAAAAAAGATTTGGTATCTTCGGAAATATTTCTATACATGTGGATGCAAACCTGTGTTTCTTTTTATTGCAAGCTGTCGTCGGATTGGATTTCCTGCTGAAATGCAACAAGGACAGTAGCAGCTGTTGCAGCTACACCACACCATTGTGTACATAATGCAGAAGCGATTGAACCTGATGTCAATGTTTTTAATTGAAAAAATTGCAATCCTAATAAACATGCCAAATATTTATATTTTGGGAGTTGGCCTAAGTGTTATAGCTAGAAGGTGGTTATAATTCAATTAGATAGTAAGAGTAAATTACTTTTTTCCAAATATGTTAATAGTCACGATGGTAAAGCTGGTCGATCATGTTCTTCATTTAAACTGTGAGCGTGGTACTTCTGGAATGGTATGGTGGGATATTCAGCCAAAAATAAACCTTGCTATGTAATAAGAAAGATGTCAAAAAATCATAGTCTTTAATAGTTTTAATTGAGCCCTCTTTTAAAAGAAGTCCTGTGTGTTTTTCCAACAGGCTAACTGAAATCTGTCATATCTTGTAAGGTGCTCTCTGAAAGCATATGTGTATAAGTATTTTTTTTATTTTTTTGTCTTCTCTGTTAAACCATATAACCAGAAACCATACATAATTCATATTCATAATGCCTTTTAAAAAATTATTTTAAAATAATGTCTGCATCACAGATATTAGAGATTTTTTGTTGTTTTGTTTAAGAGTTCTCATTTGCTGAAAAAGTAATAGTGTCCATTAATTTAATTCCAGTAAAGCTATCGCATGTGTACAAGTATGTGAATAGTCTCAGACAATGTTTATGTTTTGATGCTGATGTACACCAAAGCTGTAAATTATTGGAATGAAGACATTTTGTCACCTACTTCACATCCTAAGAAATGTTGGTAGTCTCATGGTCTTGCTTCCAAGTACGTGGGAGAAATGATACATAAATCAGTTTTAAATGTGCTAAAACCTTTTTACCAACAAAAAAAGCCAAAACACTTTGTTTACTGTTGTTGATGCTGTTGTATCTCTGCAAATGGATGAGACTTACAGTTCTTTTTCCCTTTAAAGAGCCGTGGCCTGTCCGTGAACTTCGATTGGCATAAGAAAGCAGATAGACCAGAATGAGCAAAACTACGGAGTGTTAATAGGTGAGAAGAAACCAAAGATCAGCAAAATAATCAAAAAACATTAGTTGGTAATTGAATAAGGAGACCACTCTTCTGACTCTGGGATTTATTTTCAGGCTCAGTGTTGGGGAAGCATTATGTAACAAATGCTCAAAAAAATGAGGAAAGTTAATGTCTTGTTTCCGCTCACTGCTGGTGATTTGACAGAATGTTACAGTGCTTATGTATGGTTTAAATGTCAGTGTGAATTTAGGAAGTGTAATCATACTTCTTGCTTTTCAGTAAGTATTTTCAAGGTTTTACAGAATATCAAATCTGCCAAGCCTATTTTTCTTTTTAAAAAATAATACAGATATATCATAATTATTAATGCTATTTTAAAAATAAACAAAAAAACCCCCCCACAGCCTAAAATTTTCATGGCAGTTTATCTCCGGATGAGAAAAACCCTAAACATTTCAACTTCTTGCATTATTGGAATTCCTGTGAGTGACTGAATTAGCTACTGATTGGGGAACAGAAATGGAGCCAATAGATTTATACAATCATTACACATGTCTCAGGAT